GCCTTGGTTCTCCTCCAGATGAGGACAGCAAGGTCAGCCTTTCAGAGACGACGATTCGGAAGCCAGAGAAAAGCAACACTATGAGGCCCTGGGCCGAGCAGGAGCTGGGTCGATGGCGGTGGTGGCTGTCACTCAGCTCTCTCTGTCCTCGCTCCCTCAGGGGAAGCAGAGAGGAAATGAGTGCTTCTGCTGAGTAATGCACTGCCAAAAAGAATCTTGGAGAAAGAAGACAAATGCTGACATCCTCGAGCATTCACAGCACTAAATATTTTAGGTAACCCACAGAGCAGTGAACACCAACAGACACACGCCCCCAGATGACTCAACCCACTCAACATCCACTCTGGTGGGGCCCCCTCTGCAGCTGGACCCTGAGCTCATGGGCTCTACCACCGTGGAGGCAGGTGGCCAAATCCAGCAGGATGCACCTCGGGGCTCAAGGTCACCGGGTGTCCGAATGCATTCCAGGGTCTTCGGCAAGACCGCCACCCCGGAAGACCCCGACACACGCTGCTGAGGAAACAGCATCACAGAAGGTGAAGACGTAACTCGTGCGCCTTGGGACACGCCAGGGGCTGACTGGACAGGCACACCGGAAGCTCAAGGTCATTCAGGAGGCGAGAAAGAGATTCCAACCACCGCCAGGTCATCTGTGACAGGATCCCAAGGGGCACTGCTCCCAGCAGGCATGCCAGCTCTGAAGACCAAACGTCTCTCCTCCGAGCCCTGCGCTGACGCTGAAGGACGCTCACGTTCAGAGCCAACCTTGTGGTCCCTGGAGGCCCCAGAGGTGACAGGGTCCCGGTGAGGGGCGTGGCTGACCACCAAACCCTTCACTCCCAGACACAGGGAGCGAGCGAGTGTAGGCCTCCGAGAAGAGCCAGCCGCTCCTCACCCCACAGCCCCACAACGGACCTTGACCCTGCCCATGACGGACCCTCCTTCCCGTCTTCCGACGCAGGGAGGGGTCCAGGAAGCAGCAGCCTGCAGCATAGGACACGCTGCTCTGAACAGGGGAGGGGAAGTACAATTTAAATAATGCTTAGGTTGAGCTTATTTGAGAAACAACTCAGGTCCCGTTTCTTCTCGGCACAGATACACCTCAGATTAATTAAATGCCTGCTTCTCTCCCTGACACCAGCTGCCTCCGAAGCCTAGACTCTTGGCCACCACGGATGATTCATCCTGCCATCCCTGCATGGCGGAGTCTTACAAAGCCCCCTCTTCCCCCCCCGCCCGCCACCAGTGGTTACCTAGCAACAAGCCTAGCAACCTCGCAGCCAAGAGATTAATCCCTGCGTGATGATCATAAAGTAATATCCAAAACAACATGTCATTTCAAGGATGCCATCCAAAGGCACACGAAGACGAGGCATGCCCGATGACAGAGACAAAGGGAACACCCTGTTCTCCTGTTGTTTTGGTATCTGAAAGGCAGGATCTCCTCATGCTCACGCACACAGGGTGAGAACCAAGCACCATGCATGCAGGAGCGGCCCTGTGGCCAGGGTGTGCACTGGTACACAGGGGCCAGCAAGGGCAGGTCGTTCGTCCTAACCTTCTGGTTCCCACACCCGCTCGGCCCAGTGTTCAGAGACCAGGCTCCGCATGACAGCCACGTGCCTCCTTGTGCGCGTGCGCCCGGAGACGTCACAAATGCCGCTGCGCCATGAAAGGCTGGGGACCGTTCCAGAAGGGCAGGCACTCAGCATTCCCAAAAGGCTCCAGCCAGACCAGAAGTTTCCAAGACCCAGCAGCATCAGCACCACCCGGAGGGCAGGTTAGGCTGCTTGTCCCAGGCGGCCCAGACACACCCGGGGAAACAGGTCTTGGAGGTGGCACTAGAACACAGGTCACTGGGCTGCTGAAGTCCGGCCACGGTCTCCCGTGTCCCCACAGCAGGGCCGCCTGGCTCCAGTCACGCCTCTATGCTCCCTGATGTGAAGGACGCACCCCTGAACCGGGCCCACAGACAGGACTCGCTCAGCCAGCTGACGGTGAGCATACACAATCAAGGGGCCCATGGGGACACCCTGGAAATCTCGCCAAGTCCCCTTCACAAGGGGCAGGTGGCACCATCAGTCATGCATTTACTTATCAAGCTGCTGCATGGGACGCCAGGGAGATGGTATCCAGGCTGCCGTCTGCTGGCACAGGCTGCCCGTGAGTCAGTTCTGTCTGTACTCGGAGTCCCCGAGCCCTCAGTCTACGGCCCACATTCTTGCCTCGAGGGTTGCCATGGCCTGGCTCCCTTCCCAAGGTCACCGACTTGGGTCACGGGGCCTCCACTTCTCAAGGCCGCCCCTCTGGACCTCAGACAGCAAGGTCCCCTGAACACATCCCCTGAATGCTGATTTCCGGCAGGCACCACCACTCCCTCCCGGCTGTTTTACTTTTTTCTTGAGAGTTGTGGGGAATCTCGGCCACCCTGCAACCACCCAAGGGCCTGCCAGCTCCCCAGAGAGGGAACTCAGGAGAGGGGCGACAGGGGAACGAGGCAGCTGTCCTAGGATGGCCTGAGGGGCCTGAGCCGGTGCAGACCCGAAGCACCGGAGTCACAGTGTGGAGCAGCAGCAGCCTGGGCAGGGTCTGAATCCAACAAGCAGGGTGCATTCGGAGGAGCAGCCACCCTGTACCTGGTCCCCTTGGGCTGAGACTCCCCGCCAAGCTGGGGCAGAGGCAGAGCAGGCTGCCTTGGGATCCTGTGCTCTGCCTCAGTTTCCCCTCAGCTGTAAGATGCAGATGGTAAAGGCACCCACCTCGGGCAGTGTTTACAAGGCTGAATGCAATAACAAGCATAACGAGCTGGAAGCAGAGTCGGGCTCCAGGGAATACACACTCGGTTAGATGCTGTCACAGCCTCCTCCTCAAGAAGGGCAACGGCGACGTGCGGGCCGGGGCAACTGATCCCAACTGAGGGCCCCAGGGGACTTCAGCACTGTACGGGTCTGGACTGGGCGCTGCGGAGCTTCCTGCTGGGGCTGGAGCCTGGGCCGTGGTCAGGAGGATGCTGCCTTTAGTCATTTGGGGTTTGTTTTGTTTGTCTGTGTTTTGAGACAGGGTCTCATTATGGAGTTCAGGCTGGATTTGATCTCCCTTGTAGCCCAGGCTGGCCTGGAACTCAGCAATCCTCCTGCCACAGCCTCCTGAGTGCTGGGATTACTGCTATGAGCCACCACTCCTAGCTTTTTAAATTTTTTATTATTTTATTTTATTTTTGAGACTGGATCTCGATCAAGGCACTGACTTTGGAGCCAGAGAGTTGTGGGGAATCGTGGCCACCTGTGACCAGCTAAGACTCAACAGCCTGATGTGGAGAGAGGCTGGGGAGGGCCCCGTGGGGAATGGGCTGGGAATCATGAAGGGGCGACAGAAGCTAAGTGCAGAACGCACCTGGCTGGGCGTGAGCCTCACCAAGGGCAGCCATCACCTCCTCGGAGCCCCAGGAGGTGGCAGCAGAGCTGGGCAGGGCTCCTGCCACAGCAGCCAGGCCCCAAAGGACACGGATCATCCTAGGCCTTCCGAGACCTCAGGCTCCAGGCAACAGAAGCCAAGGAATCTTGCAGTCCCAGCCATGGCAACGGAGAGCCCTGGTGGCACATATGCGTCACCCCTGCCTGGGGCAAGGGGCCCAGGGGCCTTTACAGGTGATCTCGTGGGAAAAACATGAACCAAGGACACAGCAGGGCCAGAGCCTGGCACGCATTGACGCTCAACAGATGGAGAAGCCACTCGGGGGCCACACTGCTCCCTGCTCTGCAAGGACTAACGTGTCAAGGCTGGGGAGGCATAGGCCAAATCAGGGTAGACGCCCAGACACACTTGGACATCCCGACACCACGACACTGGCTTCAAGGTCACTCCTGCCTCGACCTGGGTCAGCAGCTGCTTCCAGGTGCCCATGGGAGCAGGTGAAGCCCACGCCAATGTCACCAGCCAGAGCAGGGGACGGGCACCGACCTGGGGTCAGTCCAACTGGGCCTGGCCATGAGCCTCACGCACATCAGCTGCTGAGCCAGGAGCTACCAAAGGGCATCTCAGCACACGATGCCCTGCCACAGAACAGGGTCCGCAGCGCAGACTTCTGTGTTCCTAGCATCCTTGGCCAGGAAATGGGCATCCGCACAGCGCCTGCTGCGCCTCAGGAGGCAGTGGTAGGGGATTCCGGGAGGAGGAGACTGCTCACACAGTGAACGCCAACGCCACCGCCGGGGTGCAGGAGAGAGCCAGGCAGACCCAGGGGCAGTGTGGGGACAGGAAGGACCGACATGAAGGTCACTTAGGCCCCACCGGTCCCCAGTCACTCCTGGAAGCCTCTCTCTGGCTTCCCTTTCCTTTATTAACCACCAGGGACGGATACCAGGGGTGACCAGAGGGCCAGTCGGGTGTCTCTCCAGGCCTGAGGACCCTCAATGTCCCCGATCCACCCCTGCGCACCTCAGCCAGGGCCACCATTTCTCCTCCTCTCCTGCGTTTCCCAGAGCAGGTTCCGCACAGCCCTGGCTGGGCCCCGCCCCTTCCGCACCTCCCCACACACACAGGAGGGCAGAGGGCAGGGGGTCCTGGCCTTGCCACACAGCTGTGCCCACTAGATGCCTCTGCCTCCCCCTCCCACCGGGGCTCATGTCCAGGAGCTCACCCAACTGAGAGGCTCAGAGCCGGGCTGGCACGAGGTAAGCACTGTGTGTTAATCTTTTGATACTGTCTGCTGCCTTCCTGGAACTGTCAGGCAAATGTTTAATGTTTGGCAAGTGACTTTGCCGTGTGTTTATTATAACTTTGTCTAAAAGAACATTCATGAGTGGGTTTGCCCTGTTACAAAAATAAGTAATACATGATCATTCTGGAAGTGGAAGAGGAGGAAAGATTTTTTACTAGCCAAGATAACACCTTGGTGGGCCGCTGGAAGCCCGTCTGCACAGCTGGGGTTGACTCCCACTCTGGGCCCCTGTCCTGTACCCCTGTGGGTCACTGCTCGCCCTCACCCCAGGCCCACTCACCTTGAACCTCTCAGTGACACCCTCCGTGACGCTGATGGTGAACTCGGCTATCTTGGGGGGACGCGCTTTGCCTTTCTTGCGATCGGGTTCATATTCAGTCTTCGTCTTCACGACCACCTTAGCAGGGAACAGAGCAGCACCCGTCAGTGGTGACCCAGATGTGCTCGGACACCTGGGCCCAAAGCGGGCGGGTCTGGGCACAATCGTGTCCAAAGCCACTGTTTCTCCTGGAAGCAATTCCCAAACAGAATGAGCACAGCCACCTCTTACCGGAAACCTCCCCGAGCCATCACTTCCGGAGCAAAACCCACTCAGAACCCAGAGCACAAGCCCCGGAGGGAACCGGTACAACAGCGAGAAGAGAGGCCAGTTGCACTGGCCAAGGTCACGCAGCTAATAAATGGTAGGGTGCGGGCTGCTCGACATTGACTCCTAATCCACTGCTCCTTCCACCCAGCAGAGCTCCTGCCTTGGCCTAGGGACTTGGGAGGCTGCGTCTGCTTTTGCCAAGGCCCTTACGTGCCACCCACCCGCCCTAGGCAAAACCAGACAGTCAGAATGCACTGCTCCTCATTCGTCCACATGCAGCCTCCCCAACAGTGGGGAGGGTGCACAGCCTGAGTTGGCACTTGGTGTCACCTTGCCGTCCTCAAATCCCCAAGGCATCCATCTAGCCACGTGACCTTGGGCTTGCATGTAGTGAACAGAGAACAAGGCTCATCTCAGCAGGCGACTGAGGAGGAAACTGGAATCCCAGCCCAGTATGGGGAGCCTGGCAGTGTTCTCACCAGACTCAGTCTGCATCTGCCAGTGACAGATTAGGTGAGCTCGGACAGGTCCCTTGAACTCTGAGCCTTCACCTCCACATCTGCAAAATGGGGCAACCTTGGCAGTGACCTCACAGTGCTGTCACACTGAGGAACCTCAGCCTACAAAGTGGCAGAACAGGCATTCACCAAACGTCAGCCAGGATGGTCCCTGCCGTCACTGGCCTCCTGTGACATGGCCCCTCGGTTCCAGTCTCCCAGTGTGTGCACCCGGGGCAGGTGACGCTGTCTCCCTGAACCCAGGTTGCTGGCAACACAAGTCGATGTGGTTCCGGGTAAGAGATCCGGCTACAAACCAAGTGGAATGAGACACCCTTCCAGAAACTGTGCGTCCTGGACGGGCAGCCTTAACCTTCAGCGCAGTGACCTTCGGCACAGCCCGGAACGTGCTGAGCCTCCATCTCCTCATCTATGACCTCGGTAGCCTGCTAGGCCAACCATCAGTCCCTGCTAGAACTCGCTTCTGGGACACACCTGTCCACCAGGGACCCCTCAGTTCCAACATTCCCAGGGATGAGAGACTGGTGCCTTCCAGAGACACCCAGGCCACCCCTGGGCACCTGGCCCGGCTGGCCAGGATTCCATACCTGCCTGAATCACTACTCTCGTAATACGCCAGCTGTGCCAGACAGTTCTGGAATGGAACAGACTAAAGCTCGATGGGGCTCAGGCCAAGCAGAAGGGGTCACCTGACGGAGGTGCTGCTTCAGGACACAGGATTCCTGGCACCTGAACCGAGCAGCTGGGGATTCAGGCTGGAGGGGAGGAGGGCATCAGGCCAGGCTCTGCTAACAGGACCAGCCTGGCACTCACACAGGGAGGGGTGGAGTGGCGCTAGAAGCCTCAGGTGAGCCCCTTCTCTGCAAAGCCCAGCCTGGCCCCTGAGCACCCTAGAATGGCCCCCGCTTGGTCGGGCGTGCACAGGTATGACCATCGGATCCCCCTTTCCCCCAGCGGAAACACCTGCTGCCAGCCCCCCACCCAAATCACAGACAATAGCGGTAGGGGACAAAAGCTCCCTGGGAGGCTGAATAATCTCTGGGGACCCCATGGGAACAAAGAAACCTCCAGGAAAACGACCCCACAGGGACACCTCCCACCCCACCCTGCCGCTGCAGGCAGCTCGCAAAGCCCTGAGTCAGAGCCTCTCTCCACCAGGGACCAGAGGAGACAATAAATGTAAAAGACTGGGGGATGGGGGTGGGGAAGGAGAGCGCAGCAGGAGGGTGGGAAAGGTAGCCCTGCTTAGGGCTTCTGATGAATCTTGCAATACAGTTGTCAAGCCTTTTAAAGATCCTGTTAACCTTCTGTTAACTCTGCATACCCTCTTACTGGAGAGATAACGACTTGATTGGATGCTATATTCCCCCCAAAGAGGGCATTCTTCAATTCAGCAAAAATGCTCCGGGAAAGACTAACGGTGGTTGTCCCCGGTTACACTAATCCTGAGCGAGCCCGGGCACTCATTTGGACGCCGCACAGAAGGAACAAAGAGAAAGGCGAAGAAGGAAGGAGGGCCTGGGAGAGCTCACACTGCACATGGCGCAGCCCGCCCGAGGGAGGCCGGTCAGCCCGCGGCAGAAAGGACCAGGAGGGGAGCCGTCCCGAGGGAGGGCCCAGCCGGCCAAGCCCCCGCCTCAGTGGGCCAATCAGATTGAAACGGGACCACTCCGCAAGGCACAGGGGCAGCTGCGCCCCCGAACCCCCGCTGGTGCCAGGGGCAAGGGAAGTACAGGACAGCTAGGGGACCAGGGGTCGCTCCCCGTCGGCCTGACCTCCAAAAATCAAGAAGGGACTGCGGACACCCAAGGCAGGGGCCCCAACATCACTAGATCCAGAAGCCAGCGCGCCGGGTACACTGTCCTCGCCGGCCTCCCTCTGCCAGCCCGAGCCCCCACCCCCACCCCCCACCCCGCTTCGCGTCCCCGGCGCACGCCACAATTCTTTTGTTTCGGCCACGGGAGATTTAGGGGTGCGCATCCCGGCAGCGGAGGGCGCCGGGGGTGGGGGGCTTACCTTATCCGGGGGCGGGAACTGCAGCTGATTGACATCGAGGGGCGTCATCAGGGGAATGGTGTCGAAGCCATCCTCCAGCAGCGGCTGCTTGGTGCCCTTCTCCGCGAAATTGTTCCCCAACTTCACCATGGTTCCGGTGGACTCGAGGCTGCCGCCTGCTGAGAGAGGGTGGCGCGGGGGTCACGCGTGCGAGCAGGCCCAGGCGGGGCGCGGGAGGACGGCCGGGCACAGGGGAGGGGTCCCGAGGACGAGCGGGCACGGCAGCTCGGGCTGTTTACCGACTCTCCTCTGGCGGGATGAAGCCGAGAAGGGGGCGCCGCCCCTGCCCAGCCCCTCTGGACGCGTCCCCCCTCCCGGAGCCGCGGCCGTGGACGAGCCGCCGCGTGCCCCGGGCCTCCTACTCGGGGACAGCAGCGGCCCCTAGCCCATCCCCACGGCAAGGCCGGGCCTCGGCCGCACTCACCCCACGCGCGCTCCGCAGGTCTGGGCTCCGAGCGCGCTCCGAGCCTCCGCGTCGGCCGCTCCCGCGCGCAGCAATGGCGGAGGCGGCGCGCATGGGCCGGGCGGGCGGGGGCGCAGCGATCGCGATCCGCGCTTCCCCCCCCTCCTCCGCGCGCCGCCTCCGCCCCGCCGCGCCCCGGCTGCGCGCAAAGGGACTGTGCACCTTCGCCTTGACGCAGCGCCCGCCCCCCAAAGGAACGCGGGCTCGGGGTGGGGGGGGGAGCGCTCCAGGCGCCGGGAGACGGCCCAGGGGGCTGAGCGTGCCCCGAAGGAAGGCTCCTGGCGATGCGGGGACGCCCCCGGGGAGAAGGGCGGGTTTCCCAGGAGCAGCCAGCAGGGGTGGCCCTGTCTGAGGACGCGGGTGCCGCCTGGGGAGGCAGAAAGGCAGGGTCCTCCCTCCCACTGCGGCTCCGAGGAGGGCCCCTCGGATGGCACCGGACCCTCCCAATGAAGTCAGGCGCCGGTTCGGGGAGGCCAACGCAGGAGGAGCGGAGGTGCGGCACCTCTGACCGCCCAGGCCCTGCTCGGCAGAGAGGAGGCGTCCCTTGAGCCCTGCGGGTTGGCGGGCCTGGGAATCGCCAGAGAATCGGGGGAATACCTTGAGCCCCAGGGTCAGTGTGGGAACCCGCCGATTTCGAAATCCCCCGGAAGGACCCCGCCTGGCCGGGCCGGGACAGGGCTCTGGGGTGGGCGCAGGGAAGGCTGGGGTCTCGGCCCACGGTGAGCCAGTAAGCTACGCGGACACCTGTGAAGGCGAGGGCGGTAGCTAGAAGCCTCCCAGGCGCTGATTGGGTGTGTCCCTGGCCAGGTAGGTGACCTGCAAAACCCAGTCTGTGGCTTCGAAAGGAGCGGTTTATGTCCCCATCTCGTGCCCCACGGAGGTACAGAGCCTAACCGCAGACACACACTGTAATCAGGCTCCACGCAGGGAGCCAGAGGGTGGATCCTTTCCTGTCCCTGCAGATCTCTGAGGAGGACCTCGCTGCCCCCAAGACAGACACAGTTCTCAGCTTGTCCTTTCCTTTCCTTTGCTGCCGTGCTGCCAGGCCTTGGGACTTCCTGTGTGGTTTTCTACCTCTGCTGATTGTACCTGGGCCCTGGGAAGTGCACAGCGCCCAGGACACTATGCTGCCCACCGGGAGCTCTTGGACAAGGGACTGCAAGTTGCAAGCCTTTGGCGGAGCGGGACGTCACCCAGTGGGCATCAGGGAGGAACATACTCCAGGCAGAGAAGCCTGTCAGCTCCCTGCGGCTGCTGCTACCAACAGAAACAACAGGTCTGAGTTCTTACTCCTGTGGAGGCTCCAGGGAAGCAGCGACTCCTCGTTCTGAGGGCTCCTGGCATTCCTGGCTTGCAGCCCCATCCCTCCTGCCACCCTTGTATCTGCCTCTCCCTCCCTGTCTCTCTAAGGACACTTGTCATCGGCCTTAGGGCCTACTCGGATGACCCAGGAGAAGCTCCTCCTCCCAAAGTGCTTCACTTACCACATCTGTTGCCATGCAAGGGACAGCCACTCTTTTACCACGCAAGATCAGATGCACAGGTTCCTGGGTTGGGACAGGGACCACTCTTTGGGGGTCACCACTCAGCTCACCGCAGGCATCGAGGGCACAGTGATGTGAGGGGACAAGTCATTTACAGGGGGCTATGGATGGCTCTGGGTGGGCCAGGGGCTGGCAAGGAATTAGACTGAAGAGCCCGTGGTCACAGAAACGGGGACAGCTGAAGCCATGGGGCTGGTTGTGGGGCAGCAGATGGAAGTGAAGTCAGCAGGGCTTGCTCACTTCTCTGGACCCAGCACCCACAGGGGAAGGCCAAGGCCACAGAGAATTCTGGACACCTATTTGGTTCCCTAAATGCCTCTTAGGTGCCCTCCAAGGTTACTGACAGAGGGGTCACTGTGTGCGCCCTCCCCAGGGCTCTGTGCAGAGGTGACCTGTCATTTCCAAGTCCAAGGCTTTCTGTGACTTCCCTTGCCCACTGGCTGAAGTCGGATTGTCATGGCAGCAGCCATGGATACTGAACCACATGTGTAGTGACTTTTCTATGGCCGTAAGGAAATGCCTGTGGCTGGGTACTTCATAAAGAAAAGAGGTTCTCTGGTTCATAGTTCTGGGGTTCAAGGGCACAAGGTCGACGACATCTGCTCTGCTCTGATGAGGACCTCAGCAAATTGGTATCATGATGGAGGGCCAGATCCCAGGTGAGACCAGAAGCCAGAGCCAGCAGGAGAGAACTGCCTCAGGGTCCCCTAATGATGACATCAATCCCAAGATCACCGACCCCAATGACCTCATTGGCCACAGCCTATTAAAGGCCCCAGCGCCTCTTACCGTCAGCCCACCAGGCATCGAGCTTCCCATATGGCTCATTGTGGGGATGAACTGCAACCAAACTGCAGCACCACAGCCTGACTTTGAAGCCTGTCTCTCCTTCCTAGCTGTGCCACTGTGGGGCAAGGAGATTAAACCCTCAGGGCCTCAGTTTCCCCATCTATAAAACAGAACCATAATGCCTCCATCATGGTGGTATCATGAGAATCAGATGAGCTATAATTTTACATTTTTAAAAACTGCCTCTTTCGGCCAGTTATTCTTGCTTTGACTTCTAATTCCATACCTTATCGTCTCTGCTCTCAGTTGCCTGTACTACGCTAGGGCAAGGTGAAAGGCCCCCTTCATGGCCTCCTAGGGCTCAAAGTGGCTGACAGCCTTCATCCTGAGTCCTGCGAGCCTCTTTGTAGCTCAGAGACCTGGGAAGAGGGCACCCAGGCTGCAGGGCTCCCAGCACAGCGGGGACAGCTGCAGACACTGGCTTGTCCCCTGCTTCTGCACCCGCAGGCGGATCCCAGGACAGGTGTAAGCCGAGCTGTGTGGGCAGCCACCCCGAGGCAGTGTGGTGATCAGCAAAGGTTCTGCTGGTTCCCCAGCCTGGCCATGCAGCCAGAGATACTTCACTTGAGTCTTTCTTTAAAAGTCGAGATATAATTCACCGGCCACAGATTCCTCCATTTTCGGGCGGACACTTCACTGTTTTGAGTGTGCTCATGAGGTCGAGCAACCATTGACACCAGCTCCCCAGCAGACTCGTCACCCCATAAATAAACCCAGGACACATTCTCAGTCACCCTGTGCTCTCCCACCTGCAGCTCTGAATTTGCCTCATGTGGCTCTGCCTGCTCCACATGCATCCTTGCCTGTGGCTTTAAGTGTCGCTGGTCCTCAGCTCTGAGTCAGCCGCTCACTGACACAGGCAGGGAGCAAAGACAAAGGCAGAATCGGTCTGCATTGTGAAAACCCAGCCTTGCCCCGTGCGGTCACCCGTGCCTCTTCCAGACTCCCCACAAAGCTGACCCCCACCCCATGGCCACCCCGCAGGCCCTTCCAAATGCTCCTTCCTTGGCCTAGAACACTTTCCCTGCACCTGGCCCAGTTACCAAACTCATACTCACCCTTCAAAGCCCAGTTCCAAAGTTACCTCCTCTTCGAACCTGTCTTTCTTATGCTTCTGGCAGGGTATTTCCGTCTGCTTTAGGCCATGGCCAAACCAGGGCAGAATAGCCTAGTCTTTCACTTCTGTGCCACCGAGTCTACAACAGGGCCTGGAATTCACTGAGCAGCACTTGGCTGAATAGGCAGCCACTTAGTGCCCACAGGAAGTTCAGGCGTTTGAGCGTCCAGCGTGGAAGGCAAATTCAGCTGTGTGGCCAGGAAACCGTCCTCTAATTCAAACTGGAGACAGCACTGCCCGTGACATCACGCTGACATTTTCCCTCCCAGGTGCAGCCTTACTATGAAATTCTGGAAAACTCCAAATGCTATTTCAAAAATGCACACCGTAGAGAAAACGAACATGAATACAATTTCCCGAGGTCCCCAGTGTCTCCTTTATATCTGTAATCCCAGCATTTGGCCTCACAAGCAGCCGGGAAATGGGTAGGGAACAAATGGACTGTGGATTTCTCTGTTTGTACTCAGAGGAGCCCAGTAACCGCTATCAGGCAGCATCTGGTGACCTGTTATGTATTTAAAGAGAATTGGGTGCTGTGTTTGGCTTTGGCTTTGGGGAAGGTTGTCTTTGTTGTCATTACTCTGCCTTCTTGTCTTAATGAATCCCTCAGCCATTCCCGCTTTTCTCCGATTATGTCTGACACCTACTTCCACTTCGGCTGAAGCTTTGACCTTGGGGTGCATGAGCAGGAAAGAGAGAGCCAAGGGCTCCGGGGAGCCCTCTGAGAACCTGGGCTTCCTTCTCTTGGCAGGAATAACAAAGGTGTTCCTTTTTTAGCTCCAAGATTTGGCATATAGACAAGACAATTTTTCAAATGCTCCCCTAGTGGTTCCCGTTTCTGGATTTCAGATCAGAGCGTTTCACTTCTGTTCGATCAACAGGCATCGAGTCAGCAGAAAGGGATTTCTTTTCGGCTGCATGGTCTTCTCCAAGATGCCAGGAACTCCGAATCCCTCCTTTTCCTCTCTCACAAGCCAGGCTGTTTTGAAGCAAGCAAACCTGCCTAACCCTGGGAGGCCATTTGAGTGGTAAAGCATTCAGGACAAGCGTTGCCCCGCCTAGCTGGAAGGGACTCCTAAGGCCAGTTGGTGGCCCCAAGGTTTTCCATCAGCATTTGTACCTCTCCTGCCTGAACACGGGCCCAAGGGGAAGGGGGCGCCTCGGGGCTTCTAAAGAGCACATCTGGTCAAATGCAGAAGCCAAAAGCCCAGTCTTGCGTGGGAGGAAATGCAGATCGGGTGAAGCATTCTCTTTGGCTTGAGGGCTTTTCAGAGGATGAGGAACCCCCTCAGCATTACCCCTGTCCCACTGAGTGGCACCAGCCACTCAGCAGAGGTAGAGCCTGTCCCCAGGGTTCCTGGCTTGTTCCTTACCTACGTGCATGGCAGGTAGTAGTCAGGGTCTCCCGAGAAGGCAGAGCCAACAGGAAACAGATAGAGACATCTGAGAGGGGACTTATGAGGGGGAGTTTCACAAGCAGTTAAGGGGGCAAGGGTTTCCCTGACAGCCATCTGCAAGCTGCAGACCCAGGGGCGCTGGTATCGTGGCTCAGCCCAAGACC